CCACCTTGCCCCTCCCACCTTCCCCTCCCCCTGCCCCTCCCCCAGGTGTTCCAGCGCCGGTTCAACGGCTCCGTCAGCTTCTTCCGGGGCTGGAACGATTACCGGGCCGGCTTCGGCCGCGCCGACGGCGAGTACTGGCTGGGTACGGGGCGGTGAGACCAGTATGGACCAGTACGGACCAGTGTAGAGACATGTAAACCAGTACGGATCAGTATAAACCAGTATGGACCAGTAAAAACCAGTATAGAGACATATAAACCAGTACGGACCAGTATAAACCAGTATGGACCAGTAAAAACCAGTATAGAGACATATAAACCTGTACGGACCAGTATAAACCAGTATAAACCAGTACGGACCAGTATAAACCAGTATGGACCAGTATAGAGACATATAAACCAGTACGGACCAACCAGTATAAACCAGTATAAACCAGTACGGACCAGTAAAAACCAGTATAGAGACATATAAACCAGTACGGACCAGTATAAACCAGTATAAACCAGTATGGACCAGTATAGAGACATATAAACCTGTACGGACCAGTATAAACCAGTATAAGCCAGTATGGACCAGTATAAACCAGTATAGAGAGATATAAACCAGTATGGACCAGTGCAGACCAGTAAAAACCAGTATAAACCAGTATGGACCAGTATAAAATAATATAAACCAGTATAAACCGGTATGGACTGGTTCAGACGAGTATGGACTGACCCCTCGGTGACCCCTGACCTTTGCCCTTTGCCCAGGGCTGCAGTCGGTGGCACTGCTGACGCTGCTGACCCCTGACCCCTCGGTGACCCCTGACCCCTCGGTGACCCCTGACCCCTGACCTCTGCCCCAGGGCTGCAGTCGGTGGCGCTGCTGACGCTGCTGACCCCTCAGTGACCCCTGACCCCTGGATGACCCCTGACCCCTGGGTGACCCCTGACCTTTGCCCAGGGCTGCAGTCGGTGGCGCTGCTGACGCTGCTGACCCCTGGATGACCCCTGACCTTTGCCCTCTGCCCCAGGGCTGCAGTCGGTGGCGCTGCTGACGCTGCTGACCCCTCAGTGACCCCTCAGTGACCCCTCAGTGACCCCTGACCTTTGCCCCAGGGCTGCAGTCGGTGGCGCTGCTGACGCTGCTGACCCCTGGCTGACCCCTGACCCCTCGGTGACCCCTGACCCCTGACCTTTGCCCAGGGCTGCAGTCGGTGGTGCTGCTGACGCTGCTGACCCCTGACCCCTCGGTGACCCCTGACCCCTGCCCTTTGCCCAGGGCTGCAGTCGGTGGCGCTGCTGACGCTGCTGACGCTGCTGACCCCTGACCCCTGGCTGACCCCTGACCCCTGACCCCTGCCCCAGGGCTGCAGTCGGTGGCGCTGCTGACGCTGCTGACCCCTGACCCCTGACCCCTGGCTGACCCCTGACCTTTGCCCTTTGCCCAGGGCTGCAGTCGGTGGCGCTGCTGACGCTGCTGACCCCTCAGTGACCCCTGGGTGACCCCTGACCCCTGACCTTTGCCCAGGGCTGCAGTCGGTGGCGCTGCTGACGCTGTGTGACCCCTCAGTGACCCCTGGGTGACCCCTGACCCCTCGGTGACCCCTGACCCCTGGGTGACCCCTGACCTTTGCCCTTTGCCCAGGGCTGCAGTCGGTGGCGCTGCTGACGCTGCTGACCCCTGGCTGACCCCTGGCTGACCCCTGACCCCTGGGTGACCCCTGACCCCTGACCTCTGCCCCAGGGCTGCAGTCGGTGGCGCTGCTGACGCTGCTGACCCCTGACCCCTCAGTGACCCCTGGGTGACCCCTGACCTTTGCCCTTTGCCCAGGGCTGCAGTCGGTGGCGCTGCTGACGCTGCTGACCCCTGACCCCTGGGTGACCCCTGGGTGACCCCTGACCTTTGCCCTCTGCCCCAGGGCTGCAGTCGGTGGCGCTGCTGACGCTGCTGACCCCTGGATGACCCCTGGCTGACCCCTGACCCCTCAGTGACCCCTGACCTTTGCCCAGGGCTGCAGTCGGTGGCGCTGCTGACGCTGCAGGCGCGCTACGAGCTGCGGGTGGAGCTGGAGGACTTTGAGAACAACTCGGCGGCCGCCACCTACGGCTCCTTCGCGCTCTCGCCCACGGCCGTCAGCGCCGAGGAGGACGGCTACGCGCTGCACGTGGCCGGCTTCGTCGACGGCGGCGCCGGTGAGACCATGGCGGCCATGGGGACCCTCGGGTGGGCAACGGGGTCATCGGTGGCCGTTGGGTGGGCAATGGGGTCAATGGTGGTCAATGGGGTCATCAATGGCCGTTGGTGGTCAATGGGGTCATCAATGACCATTGGCCGGCTTCGTCGACGGCGGCGCCGGTGTGACCATGGCGGCCATGGGGACCCTCGGGTGGGCAACGGGGTCATCGGTGGCCGTTCGTGGTCAATGGGGTCATCGATGGCCATTGGGTGGTCAATGGGGTCAATGGGGTCATCAATGACCATTGGCCGGCTTCGTCGACGGCGGCGCCGGTGAGACCATGGCGGCCATGGGGACCTTTGGGTGGGCAACGGGGTCATCGGTGGCCATCGGTGGTCAATGGGGTCAATGGTGGTCAATGGGGTCATCGGTGGCCGTTGGTGGTCAATGGGGTCATCGATGACCATTGGTGGTCAATGGGGTCAATGGTGGTCAATGGGGTCATCAATGACCATTGGCCGGCTTCGTCGACGGCGGCGCCGGTGAGACCATGGCGGCCATGGGGACCCTCGGGTGGGCAACGGGGTCACCGGTGGCCATTGGGTGGTCAATGGGGTCATCGATGGCCATTGGGTGGGCAATGGGGTCAATGGTGGTCAATGGGGTCATCGATGGCCGTTGGGTGGTCAATGGGGTCATCGATGGCCGTTGGTGGTCAATGGGATCAATGGTGGTCAATGGGGTCATCGATGGCCATTGGGTGGTCAATGGGGTCATCGATGGCCATTGGGTGGGCAATGGGGTCATCGATGGCCGTTGGTGGTCAATGGGGTCATCGATGGCCATCAGTGGTCAATGGGGTCATCGATGGCCGTTGGGTGGTCAATGGGGTCATCGATGGCCGTTGGGTGGTCAATGGGGTCATCGGTGGCCGTTGGTGGTCAATGGGGTCAATGGTGGTCAATGGGGTCATCGATGACCATCGGTGGTCAATGGGGTCAATGGTGGTCAATGGGGTCATTGATGGCCGTTGGTGGTCAATGGTAGGCAGCAATGGTCAATGGGTCAATGGTGGTCAATGGGGTCATCAATGACCATTGGCTGGCTTCGTCGACGGCGGCGCCGGTGAGACCACGGCCATGGTCACCAGTAAGTCCTTGGGTGGGCAACGGGGTAATCGGTGGCCATTGGTGGTCAATGGGGTCATCGGTGGCCATTGGTGGTCAATGGGGTCATCGATGGCCGTTGGGTGGTCAATGGGGTCATCAATGACCATTGGTGGTCAATGGGGTCA